GACATGACTCATTCACATTCTTACACTCTCACAATGCACACATACAAATGACACACTTCAACTCACTGTCATATAGTCATTCATATAGTCACCAGGTGGGTTAGTATTTCAATCTTGTGTTTATAGTGGGAAAATCGTGCATCTATCCTAGCCAAGGAATGCCAGAAAAAGTGCAGAAATGTCAGCCTTTTCTACTCATTCCAACCTGACACAGCCCACAAGGATAACATTTTAAAGGCACAGCATTCAAAGGGTGAAGAGAGGTTTGCCTCTTGAGGTGTGGGGTGTGCTGAGACAGTTGGAGTGAGCGGATATGACTGGGAAAGGGTATGATAGAGAGGGAGGGATGAGAGGGGGCACAGGGAAAGGGGGTCCAGGGTAAGATGAGGGCACAGAGAGAATGGGGACTTGGGGAGATAAAGAGTGCAGGAGAAGAGAGGGTACTGAGGGGGAAAATACACATGGGGATTAAACGGTGAAGTGTATCTAAAGTGTGCGGCGGGATTTAAGGGTACACAAAGGTAAGTGTGCAAGGAAGTGATGAGTCTAGCACATATTGGGCTCTAGTGATCAGAGGTACAGAGGTCGTGGGAACAAAGGACGTAATGGGATGTGGTTACTGAGGCCAGATGTGAGTCAAGGGCCTGGGTGTAAAAGACACAAAAGAGTTTGTGTCCACAAGGGGTTAAAGAACAAGCAGGAGGAGGCATATATGTTTTGTAAGATTGAAAGATTCTTTTGATGGTGGGACACAACACACCAACACTTGAATACAAGAAAGACAGAACTCTATTACTAAAGCTCCACACCAGAAAAGGACATCAGGGAGATCACACGGAGGTTACAACAGGGAGGAGGTAATGCAGTCTGGAGTTGTAAGAGTAGCTTATGCATGGCAAGTGGGGTGGGGTGAGATAGGGCCCACAGGCACTCTGTGAATTGGCTAATTTGAATAATTTCATGGGCTCTGAGGTGTAGGAGTTATCTCCATTTTTCTGGTACCTGGACTCAGTGCAATTTGGGTGTGTTGCTAGTTGCCCAGTGTGTGAGAACCCAATTAGGGAAATGTTTTGTGTGTGGAATTAATCAGCTTCACAAGATGGGGAAGTGACTACCTTGTAACAAGGTCCTCGAAAGTGGGTTAAGAGAGCATTAAAAAATCAAAACAAAGCAAATATATTGCAGTACATTGCTTGTGTATGGATGTCCTGTCAGTAGTTAGTGCTCCAAGGCAGAGACAGAGAGTGGGAAGAGGAGCTGGAGACTTGTAGAGGGGAACGGGCACAGGAAGACAAAAAGGTTTTAGGTGATGAAGTCAGCTGAGGAGGGACTGGGGTGCCAGGGCTAAAAGACCCAGAGAAAGGCCAAATAAGTGGGTGTGAATTGGCGACAATGGGATTTGAAGGCTGGGATTTTGAGGGAGAGGCCAAGAGGACATGGGAATTGGGCTGAGTTCACTGGGATTGGGGCAAATATAGTTCAAGGGGTAAGGAGGAAGTGGAGGTGATGGAAGGTGAAGAGTGTTGGTCTGAGGTCCCTAGGTGAGGGGTAAAGAGATGACAAAGGGATGGAATTGAAAGTGGGTGCAGGACAGAGGTGGCCTATGGAGGTTTAGAAGTCCAGTGGAGGTGGGAGAGGACAGGTGCAGGTTCAGGGATTGGAGAGTGATGGTGCTGGATCAAGGAATGGTTAAGAACTAAATAGGGGTGGAATGGAGGTCATGGTTGATAGGGGCGGAGAGAGAAGCAGTATCAATTATGAGGGGATGGAGGTGGCAAGGGCATGTGTTTGTGTCCCTCCAAAATCATTAATCCATTCCTCCATTCGATAATGCCCTCATTCACATTAGACTCACAACTTTCTCATGGGTTGCTTCTCCATTCAGCCCATGATGCACAAATCTTGCTCATATAAAATATCCCTGCAAATCTTTAAATTTTACATACTGTAGGACCTCAGTGAAAATTTTGAGTGAACAATACTCCGCCATTATTTCTCTCTTCTAATGGAATTTCAGGTAGAAGGTGTGCCACAGGGTGTCTGGCAGGAGAGCTTGTTCACTGGCATTGTGCCTTCAGTGTTGGCAAGAGACCTGACCCCCTCCAAATACTTATGTCTTAAAGAACTTTTTTGACCCGAGACTGACTTGATGAAAGTGCCTTTATTTATTGTAGTATTTCTAATAATATTAACACCTGCTTTCTATAAGAAATGAAACATAACAAAACAGAACTGAAATATTGTAAGTAATGTTTTTCCTTTGTATGAAACCATTCTAAGAGGTAACCTCTGGTAATAGCATTATTCGTATGACTACAATTAAAATATTTTTTTAATTGCAAAAAATTGACTGGTCTCATAGTGAAGTAGGCAGATCTCCATTCCCTGCTGTTACTACCTTAGTTATATTACATTACATGGCAAAAGGGACTTTGAAGTTGTAATTAAGCTTACTACTCATCAGATTATGTTGTGGACCAAATGTTTGTGTCCCTCCAAAATTCATACATTCAAATTCTAACCTTAGAATCAAGTACGACATCTGAGTAGAACTTCTACACACAGATGATGTTGGTACCTCCTTAGTACATAACATGAGAGGCACAGGTTATGATTATTTTTTATTATTGGTGAGGCTGGGACAGGCACCAGGCATGGGTGGCCCAGGGGCAGGGATGGCACATTCAGGTATGTGCACAAAGGCTGTCAGGCCATGTGTCCTCCTGTTATTGGCTGAACCTTAGAACTCTGGATTTCTATGTGTTGGTTTTGTCCTGAAAGCCATGTGCCTTTCTCCTGACCACATGCCAGGGAAAGCATCACCTTTTGTTCAGGAGGAAGAAACAGGAGAGAGGGGACAGCCTAGGTCAGGGCCTTTATTCGGGTTTTCTGGGGAGAGACGGGACAGGACAAACCGCTTACAATTGGATAGTATGAATATTTCCCATGGGCCTTGGGGCATAGTGGCTTTCCCTAAATGTCCGATACTTGGTCCTGGGTTGATTTAGGGAGTTGATTTATTGGCTTGGTGTGTGAGAGTTGGACAAGATGGTGAATGGAGGTGTGGGCTCTATACGGTTAGTCTGAATATGAAAGGGACGCCCTTGTTAAGTCCTTTTCTCTTACTAAAATTGGCTTGTCTTGGGCCAGGCAGTATCTCCCTAGTCATCAATTCACAAATGTCAATGCACCAAGAAAACAGAAAATAAGGAAATATAGTAAATGTAATTGGTTCTGTGATGAATGGATACCACACAGAGAAGTGCAGAGTCTAATCAAACACAATTAAAACAGAGAGTTTGTCTGAAAACAAGAAATAGAGTTACTGTGGGACCCTCTTTCTCTTTTTCCTGCATCTCTATTTGAAGACTGGCCTATGTAATTTCCCTGGCCAGTGAAGCTTTGCGGGTGATATGAGGAGGAGAGAAAGAGATCGTATAGGGAAGGGAAATCTCTGGCTCTCTGAGGTGGCTTTTTGAATGTTGAATGTAGGACTCATCACTGTCCATTGTTCATAGAATGAGGGAGGCTTCCAGTCACTATCACACCCAGGCCTGGCCTCTCTCTGGGCCTGGAGCCACTCCTTGGGCTGATCCTCCTCTCATGTGTACAGTTCATACCTACACTCCAGCTTCTTCCCTAGGATTGGGCCAATGATTGTCTTGCTCTCCTGAGTTTCAGTGTTTCTGCTGTTCATGAAGAAAGTTCTGGTTTTAATTGGATTTGGAATATGTCAGAGGCTGACCCTGACTTGGACTTTTGTAAAGGAATTGGCAGCTTTTCTTCCCTGGGGTGAAGTGACTGATACATATGTCTGACTATTTCTTGGAGTTTAAGCTTTGGAAGACCTTGCCCTTTCCATGGCAGGGATGGATTATCTTGCTCACAGAGTTCCCTACTATACATTTGAACGAGACAAGAGGACTCTTCTCTCTGGAATAGGAGATCCTATTTCTGCATTCTGCCCTTAATATTCACCTGATTTCAATTTTCTAGGATAATCTCTCCCTTCAGTTGTCATTGAATTCCTATCCTGGATCTTTGTAACCTGTATTTTTGGGGTACAGTGATCCAAGGACACCTGGCCATTCCGTTTACTCTTCTTTTGTCTATGGAGCACCTTGTAGCTACTATATTTCTACCAGCGCAGTCTGGAGATGTGACAGTGAGACATTAAAAGCCAATGTTTATGAGGCTGAGACATCTTAGTGGAAAATCTTTTAAGCTGGCTCTGGGGCTTTACCTCCAATTTTAGCTTCCACTCACCAGCAAGATGTATTTTAAGGAATGACTTCCCTAGTACACAAGCAACCAGCATTCATGGTGTAAGAGAGCACGGTGTGGTTACTGAAGCCTTTGTTGACTCTGATCCTCATTTAACTTTTGAATGTTTTCCACTATGTCTCAGGACTTGTCTTAATGTTTATTGATAACCAGGGAAGTTCTCAGGCTTAAGTTTCTTCTTGAGTCTTCAAAATTTTTCTCACCTTGAGCATTGATATTCCTTAGTTGGAGTCTCTCATTTTCCTGTACAGCAAAAAAATATGTTCTCTGCCCACAAGGTGACACTATCCCTATATTCCAATCTTCTTTTTTTTTTTTTTTTTACACAAATACCTATGAACAACAATTCGAAATAAGAGATGCCCATGCTACTTACAAGACATGCACATATATTGGAAACCCATGGAGTATTGTCTTCCACCAATATCCAACTCTCATTTCCTAACTGGATGCACTCTGCCTAACATTGCCTTAAGTACACCACTTGATCAACCACTCTGATTCATCTCATTAAGAGGCTAAGCCCAAATTCATTCAATTTGTCTCAAGCAGAATTTGATTAAGACTGCTCTCATCAGGACACTAGTCATCAAAATGAGACAAAACTGCTTTACTTCCCATCACTATGCCCACATATGTCCCATATTCAACCAGCTGCTGAAACGCCAATACCCAGAAGAGTCTGTCTTAGAAAGACATACAGCTTCTTCTTAGATTCTACATTGACTTTGGAGCGTGTGAAGAAATAAACAACTGAACAGTGTGAAAAACCATACAGTTTACATTTTTCTGATAAGATTAGGAAATATTTTATTCCTTAACCACACAAGGCAGAGCCTGGATACACTGGAGTCAGGGCTTATGAGCAGAAAGGGGCTGACAGTGGGAAAACAGGCAGAAGTTAGGGAAGCTGTGTTCACCAACCACCAATTGGGATGATTAATTAGAGCAATACAAAGGCTGAAAATGGAGGAGAGGGTTTGAAAAGATAGAAAAGTACTCACCACAACAAGGATGTGTTGGGTGGCTCTGGACTCAGGAGATGATCTGGGGAAAACATTTTTCTTGTGAAGGTATTGGACCTGCTGCTTGTGCTTGTACAGGGTGAAAATCATGGAACCACTGCTCCAGATTATGATCACAGAAAATAAAACTTCAGGGAAGACAATTAATGCTACATAGATTGAGCCTGTGATTTTCTTATGATCATTAGCAAACCAGGATCCCAAATCTCTTTTCCTTGTGATGTTTTTCATGCTCCATTTGCTAGACACATACAATGCATACATAGGAAAAATTAAATTTACAAACATGTACAGGATCCAGCAGAGGGAAATTGAGAAGCCAATGTACTTTGGGGCTTTGACCTTAAGATCCTTCCAACAGGAGTTCATGGGGCTGATCATGATTATCTGGTACACACTCAGGAAGCAAGTGCTGCCAATGGATACACCCCTGCTCACTCTGTAAACATACAAAAGAAGACTGCATGCCAAATTGTTGAATAAATGTTGCAACCCAAAATCTGCCATTGTCTGGGAGAGTCCTTTAGAGAGAATGATCAAGGAGTTGGCTATAGTGAGGTGCTTGAGAATCAAATCTGTGGCCCTCAATCTGCATTCATTGTGGTAAAGGAAGTAGTAATGGTAAAGAAGAGAGAAATTGCCCAGAATTCCAACTATAGTCTGTGACAAGAAGATAATTGCTATTGTCAAGTCCCTGGAGGCTATTCTGCCATTCAAAACATTTTCCCCTAAATTATAGCAACAGTCATTCCTCAGAGTCAAAAGGATCATTGAAGATTTTTGACACCAACAGAAAGCTGCATTGTGTCCTTCTGTTCGAATGCCAAGACTTCACAGGCAGGAAGAGATGGCGAGATAACCAGTATATTTCTTAGAAAAGTCAGCACTAAGGATGAGGTGATGTTAACCTGGGGGAATTAATGAGAAGTGAGAGCAAATGGAAAGACAGAATAATACAGTATTTTCAGAATAAGGTGAATTTTACTACTTATAATGGAAAAAAGAGAAACCTCAAGCACTACCCACATCATAAAACCAGTCATCTCTGAATAACTTGCTGATTGAAATTTTAAAGATGTAATGTATTTTTATACACAAAGTAAAAAACATTTCTATGATCACAGAATAAGGAAATATATCCTAAACAACACAGAACATAGTAACCATATGGATGAAATGACTTCAGATTATGTTGAAATTAATGGCAGGTTCTCATCAAACCTCACACGTGCACACACAAACATACACACACACACAGAGAAAGAAATGTGACTTGTAACCATTACAAGGAACTTCTAAAGACCACACAATAGAATAATCAATGGGAAAAATCACCCCAACAGAAACATCTGTGGGTGCACATAACCAACTTATGGATAAGGGAGATATTTAATGAGCTAATGTGAGCACTAGCCCAGAAGTGTTCTCTTCCCCATGGAAGAAACTACTTCAGAAGCATGGTTTATAGCATGGTTATATGCTGTTTCAGAACAAAAAACATATATCAAGCATAACAGGAAGACAACATTTTTTTCGTGTCAGAAGGTTATACTTTGCCACAATTTAGCACATACACAACAGGTCAACTTGACCTTGGTTCTCTGGGAAGAAAAGCTTATCTTCAAAGAAGTACTGATATTAATGTCAGAGTAGGGAGTCATTCGTCACTATCTTTAAAGAGTGCGTTGTTTGCCTCAGCAAAATGTTTGAAGCAGACACAGAATGGATATTTGGTGGGCCATAAGCCAGGCTGCTCCAGGAAAAACAAATTTTAGACCAAATCAGATTTAAACTAAAATGGTTCCTCATATACCTCAATATGTGAAAACTTATTATTATTTTTAGTGTTTTCATTTGTTTCCCACTTTCGATTGATAATATTTTGATAGAAAGCATTTGTGGTCAAGTTATTGTCCCTCGGTGCCAAGGTGGTTGCTTCCTGCCTGGGTCCGTCATGTCCCTCAGAGGTTGGATTTTATTTTATTGATTTGCCCAGTTATCCACAAGGGGGAAAATAGCTGAGCTTAGTGAGCAGACATAGAGGTATAAGCTGATAGGGGAACCATTCCTAAGGTCAATAATTTTGGATTGTCACACAAACATTGTAGATGTGCTTAAACTACATTTTGTAACCATCGTTTATAACAGTTAAGAACATTGAGTAGATATAGTAGTAATTATAGCAAATTGTTTAGTTCAGAAGAGTAAGTCTTAAGCATAATCCTTATCAGAAAAGGAGCCTTATTCAGAATTATAAGGATGATCGACTATCTCAAGTTTTTGAGAGATCATTGCTCTATCTTGCATATCAGTCTTATAACATTGAGTAAAGAAAAGTGTAACAATCTTGAATATTATGACTAATACAAGAATTCCAAGAAGCATCAAAAATTCAAATTGTAATCTGGATCCCAGAAGGGAAATAATATTTGAAGGGACCCAACTAAACAATTTGTGACTTGGTGAGGGGTCACTTAGGGCATTCACCTGTTTTTTTGTGTGTTTTACCAGAGATAATACATTGGAAGCTTCATCAGGTATAAAAACAATATTTACTTTGAATTATTGTGCATGTACTACCTTGGGATGCAGTTAGAATATCTAAAGCCTACTTTGAAGGACAGAGTCTCTCATTAAGGACACCTTAATATTTAGTAAAGCTATTGCTGTTTGGCTATTGTTAAGGACAAGTTGAGTAAATTTTGTAAGGACATCTATATGTAACATGACATCTTATAATCCTACGGAGGGAACAAATATAGTTGCTAGGTGGGCATACCAACAGAACACTGAATGAGTCGATCTGGCCTTACAGAGAGAAGATTGGCAACAGCTGTTAATTTAGGAAAAATTCTTCCCTGCATCCAATGGAACCCTAGGGAGCAGCGTCCTAGCCATCCAGTTGGTAGCCAAGGACAAAGATCTGTTCCATAGAACCATTGAGTTCCATTGGGTGCCACCTAACAAAGGCTTGGTCTTTGAGACCTGTCTGTTTCAAACAAATCACTTTCTTTAAGAATAATGGTATTTTGACATGATTCTTGGAGTATCCATCCCATGGTTTGGATATAGTTAGGTAAGTTTTGTTTGGAACATTTTTTTCTGTTCCCAGCATAAAGGTGCTGACATACTTAAAGACCCTTAGCTAGGACTGAGCCAAATAATTCCACCTGAGATTTGTGTGAAACCTCACATAGTTCTTGTCATAGAATCCATTTTCTTTTGTTTAGTGGCAAATTGTTGGGATGATTGAATAGTTTGAGCAACTGAAAAGGAAGAACTATATCCTGTACCATTAATAGTATTGGCTATTGGTCAGATTTCAGAATCATAATTGGTAATATCGCATGAACTGTGAACATTGGAACTAGAACTGTCTGTCATAACTAATTATTTTAGAGCTTTCCCATCTGTATCTTGAAAGGGAGAAACCTACCAAGGTAACCAAAATGTACTAGAAAGGGAAAGTTGACCCACATATGCAACAACTACACTGATTACTACGTGAAGCAAAGAATGAACCCATGGTAGAAGACATTGCCATTAGAGGTTCATTCAGATGAGGACTGAATAAACAACCAAAGTATCAGAAAAAACTTAAATGACATTCTGATAGTTAAATAAAAGATTTTGTACTTAAGCTGTGATCTATTTTAGTCTAGAAGGTTAGAAAGAAAGCATTGGAGTTACAGGATAATAATTTAAGTGTAACAAAAAGACAATCTAAAAAACTAGAAAGGTGACTGGTGTCACGTAAAAGCATTAAAATTGCTAATGTAGTCAAGAATATGATTATTATAGTAATTATTAATGGTATATAGATTAAACATTAGAAAGGTTTAAATGAGGAGATATAAAATTGGCAATACAGGCCTGGTCCAGGATCATGAGACAGCTGTCTACAATAGATGTCAACTTCTTTTCATCCTGGTTTGGTAGTATTTGTCTTAGTCAGTAGAAGTAGGGTGTCAGTAACAGGAGTTGAAATCCACTCAGGAGGAGGGTTCTTTTTTAAATAAGAAATGTGAATTCATGAGTTTATATCTTTTAATTTTGCAGTGCATGGATTGGTTAAAAGTGCCTGGTATGATCCATTCCAACAAGACTGCAAACCATCTTTATTTGGTGTCTCTTCCAATAAACAAGATCTCCAGCTTGCCATCCAGTATCCTTAAGGTCTTCATCTCCTGGGAGCTTTCTGTGGAAAGAATCCTCTACCAATTTTTCATTTCTTTTTAGTGTCTCAATAAGACCTCGAGAATAATGAAAAATATCTCCTTTGAGCAAAGTTGGTTCATACATTCCTTCATCTAGTTGCGTAAGCCATCTTGTTATTATTTCAAAAGGAGACCCCCAGTGTTTACCAAAGGGTATAGATCTAAGATTGAGGAGTGCTAGTGGAAGAACTTTTAGTCATGAGAAATTAAATGCTTCTGAAAGTTTTGCCAATTGAGTATTGACTGTGCCATTAGTTCTTTCTACCAATCCTGAGGATTGGGGATGATAAGCACAGTGAAAATGCTGCATTATTGGCCAAATGACACAAACAGGTTTAATTATTTGCCTGCTAAAATGAGCTTCCCAGTCACTGTCTAATGCCATAGAATTCTCCAAACCGGAATTATTCCTTCTAGTTGCAACTTACCTAATGTTAAGGCTGCTGCTCTTCTGCAAGGGAAAGCCTCAATCCAATGTAAAAACAAACAAATCATTACTAAGATATATTTATACCTTTGAGATGGTGACATTTGAACAAGGTCAAATTGCCATACCCCAAAGGGTCCTTTAGGAAGGGGAAAGTGGCCTTGTGACTTGTGAAGTTTATTTCTAGGATTATATTTAGGACGTAGAGTACAATGAGCATAGGCTTTATGAGCCACTGTGGGAGAAAGTTTCCAAAAATATTTTTTCCCCACAAACTCATCTTTTCAGGTGCTCAATGAGCTTATTTATGTATGTGCTGGAGCAGTGGCAATTGTGCTCCAATAGGCACTATGGGTTTTTTATTAGGCCCAAGCAGCATTTGTGTGGTGGGTTCAAAAATTCCCCCTTTTGGTGCCATATTAGTTTCTCTTTCTCTGTGGCAATTTCTTGAGGCTGTAGAAGGAAATTTTTCACTGGGTTTCTAGGGTTTACAGACAGCCACAGGCATTCTTGAGGCTGAACATGATAAGTTTTTAAAACTGCCTGCTTAGAAGCTATATTAGCAAGTTGATTTCCTTTAGGTTTCAAAGTGTCAGATTTGGAATGTCCTGGTATTTTAATAATTGACAATTGTTTTAGTAGTGGTGTAGCATTTAAAAACTCTGCAACCTGTTTTCCATTTTTGTAGGTAGCCCTGAAGACATTAAAAATCCCCAATGTTTTCATAGCATTCTAATATTGTATGCCACTTCCAAAGCATAACGACTATCAGTATAAATATTTGCAACCCAGTCTTTAGCCAATTGACAAGCTCAAGTTAACACAATTAATTCAGCTTGCTGGGCTGACTTTCTTTTCTGGTAAATAAGAGCTCTCATTTGTGTCCAGACTGTTACTGCATTTCTAGCCCAGTAATGTCTTTGCTTATTCTTTAGGTAAGACCCATCTGTAAACCAAATTAGATTAGCATTATCAATAGAAGTTTCTTGTAGATCATTCCTAGGAACAAGAAGGTAATCTATTACAAGAAGGCAGTCATGGTTGTTTTCCTCCTGTGGTGCTGGAAGCAAAGTACAGGGTTAAATTTATTACATCTAGCTAAGGTAATATTAGCTGTAGAAAGCAGC